TGTTTTGAAGAAGATAGAATTTTTAGGCTTTTGGCTTTTTACATTTTGGAGAAGCACTTTTAAAAAGAAAAGGCCCATATAAAATGTCACACCAAATGATCAAATGCACTTATCTAAATAAACACAAGTCATACCAATCTTTTAAAAGCCAACCCAGAATTGGAACCGCTCTGGCCACCGGTTTCCAGGTCAACTGTTTGACCGTCTGATTCAAACGGATGGCCTGTTCTAACAAAAAATTTTAAAAAATAAAAATAAAATAATTAAAATAAAAAACAACCAAAACCATTGACCAAGGATGATGGTTCAACCACCTGAGTCAACGAGTCATTGACCAATTCATTGGCTTTTGGCTAGGGACCGGTTTTGGGGTAAAGGGGAACCGGTTGCTTAGATGGTTCCCGAGCCGAACAGTCTTACCATGTGAGTCAACAACTGTTCAAAAACATTGGATCATACTACCTACCTTCAGCACTACTTGTATAGAGTTCACACGTATCTAATCACCCTACAAGAGACAAGCCAACCCGTCCAACTAGACAATTCAATTCAATTGAAAGCATTGCTTCACACTATTCATCTCTCTCATCATCTTTAGGCAATTCAATTCAATTGAAAGGATTGCTTCACACTATTAATCTCTCTCATCATCTTTCTACTATGAACTAATCTATACTGTATATATAAAACAAGGTTGTCCATGCCACATGGCCTCTCCTTTCTCCAAAGCCCACTCCCTGCATTCTCTTTAATTCTCATTCCCACCACTCTCAATATGCCAAGTCATCACCCCTCTATCTTCCCATTCCTCTCCTTTCCCATTCTAATTACATAAGGTTGTGTTTGGTTTGAAGGAAAAAGTAGGGAAAGGAAAGGAAAGGTAGGGAAACCTTGTATAGGTTTTGATATCTTTCCCTTCCTTTCCCTACATTTTCCTTCAAACCAAACATAGCTTAAAAGTACTCCTAAAATCTCTCTCACCTCTTCCCCCATCCATCTTACCCCACTTCTCATATTCCTAAGATCTCTCTCCTAAAATATTTCCCTTTTCTATGCCACATTTATAGGTTTGCTAAAAATTAGCTCCAACTTCTCAACAAAAAATTTGTATACCACCCACACCTAGAGCTGTTCATGGGCCGGGTCGGGCTGGGTTTGGGCCAGGCTTTATCTCTATATTAATAGAATATACTCAGGCCCAAGCCCGAGCCTAGCCCGACCATCGGGCCTAGGTCTTGAGCTCGAGCCCAACCCTCATATAAAGCCCAAAGCCCAGGCCCGAGCCTGAGCCCGTTAAAAAAATGGAAAAAGATTTTTTTCTTTTTTTTATTTAATAAAAAACTATTTTGTCTATATTAAAAGACCTCAAAACTTAAAAAAAAAATAATGAAAGATCTCACTATTACTTGAAAAAGAGAAGAATAATAAAGAAAAAAATATATTATATGTATATTTTTTTATTATATAATACATTATCAAGTCGGGCTTGGGCTTTTTTGAGAAAGCCTGAGCATGTCCTAAAAACTATTTTGTTTTATGCCCAAGTCCAAGCCCACGGGCCTAAAATCCTATCCAAGTCTGACTTAGATCGGGCCATCGGGCTACACGGCCCATGAACAGCTCTACCTACAAGAAATTTCCTAAATTGATTACGTTATGGAGTTGATCTTTACTCCTATTCAAAAAAAAAATATGGAGTTGATCTTTACTATTTTCCTTTAATACAAGTGCAATATGTCAAGTTACTTTATTATCTTAAATTAAATTATTACATTTTAGTGAAAAATATTTAAAGAGGCTTAAAAAAGAAAAAAATAAAGTAACATAATTATTTTTTTGGCTTTAAAAAAAGGGGTTTTTATAGGTTAGTCCACCCCTAGAAATCTAGAGCTCCACTCTAAGGGTGGACTGAATCCTGACCATGGATTGATGCAAGCAGGATGCTGTTTATAGGGGGGAGACAGGGCTGCAATTCAGATTTCTGAGGGAGAATTGAAGTCCAAAAATCCCTTAACATTAAATTATCAAAATCTAAATTTTATAAACTAAATTAATTAATTAACCAAACTAACCTTTACTAACCTAATAATTTAGTTAGCGTTGATTTATTATGAACTTAATTACTTTATTCAATAAACTGATTAACCCGTTTACTATCCAAATAAAGCACTAGGGTTGCAAATCAGGTGGATTGGGTCGGGTTGTAGGTCAACCTAGGCCCAATCCTAAAGGTGCAACCCTTAGGTTCAAGCCAGGGCCAACCTGAGGTTATTAAGCCTGAATTTATCGCCCAGGCCCAACCCGAGCTTAATCCAACAGAACTCGAATTGGGCTCTGGTTGAGCTGGGTTAATTGCGCTTGGGCAGATTGATTGGGTTTAAAAAAATTATGTATACATTTTTATATAGCCATCCTTTTTTATATTTTATTGGGCTTTCATGACCCAAATTAAGAGAAATTCATCCATCTCATTTACAAATGTACATATACATTGAAAAGATATTTTTACATAAGCATTATACACATGTATGTATTTATTCAATCAAGCTTGGGTTGGGTTAGGCATAGGTTGGGCTTAAGCTACAGGAGACCTGAAACCAAGTCCATCGAAAGTTTAGGTCGAGCTCAAGATTTTTGGCCCAATTCCATCTTGCATACCTAAAACTTAGGCCCACCACGAGCAAAAATTATGGCCCAAACATTTAGGTCCAGGACCAATCCAAGGACCGAAAATTCTTTCCCAACCCATTTAAATTTGTAGGCCAGGTCGGTCCAGACTCAGGTTGGGCTGGCTCAAGTTGTACCCCTAGATATAGGTCCCTTTTTAGTTTAGACTCATACTACATATGGATACATTAATTTGATACCAATATGGCTTCATATGTTATACAATAGTTGTAAGTGCAAATTATTTAACAAGCCCGTGCTTTAGGTTAGCTATTTACTTAGGTAACTTATTTATGTGGTTAAACAATCCTAATTAACTTAACTAGGTATCATAATTTCTAATTTTTATTACTAATAAATCTATGAAGTTATAATTTTGGTCCATTTAAATAATATTTAAAAATTATAAAAATTAATTGAAATTTGTTAATATAACAATAATAATAATGATTTTTATTAATTGAAAGTCCAATTAAATTACTAGTCTTATAAATAAAATTAATAAAATATATTAAGCTTATAAAATTAAATTTTCTATGAAAAATTTATTAATTTAAACTCTGTTTAAAATAATTACATTAATAAAGCTTTATAGTAGGCCCATAGCCTAACCTGGCCCAGATCACACACCAACCAAACTCAATACTATGCAGTTTCAATTGTATTTTTGTGATACTTCTTGAAAACTCAAGAGCCATTAACTTAAGTTGGAAATTGATTTATGGGTTCCAAATTACAAGAAAACCCTTTATATGTGTAGGGGTATCATGACCCGATGGCCAGGGTTAGCCAAACCTAAGCCCAATTTGGGTTAAATAATCAAAACTCTAACCTAACCCTACACCCAAATTTGGTCAAAACAAACATTGAAAGAAATCCTAAAGCTTAGGCCCCATCGTTTATTAGTAAATTAGAGGGGGAAAGTTGGTGAATGGATATCTTTTTTTTCCATTGACCAACTTTATAGTGTTTTTTTGTAGTAAGTAATAGGCCCCACGATAAAATCAATTTCACTTACTTGGGTAAAACTTACCCATCTCTTAGGTGGGTAAGTAATTTTCCCACATGGGGAGAAAGCTTATAAAACATAATGGGACAACTTTACCCATTTTAACTTTGGATTTTTTATGGGTAAAAAAGTCATTCTATTACTTACTCGGAAATCAAAAGAAGCAATGTTTTCAACTCGTTGTTGACCTAGGTGGTCAAACCATTTAAACCATCACCCAACCAGGATTTTGGGTCCAATTCAATCAAGGTCTGCCAAAACAATAAAAAATCGTTCGAGCTGGCCGGTTCAACCATTGACCCATTTGACTCGGTGACCGGGTCGCAGGTTGCACACTCAATGCATACAAAACTTTTGAAGGCCATAACTTTGCACTCCGATGTCCAATTAGGGTGATTTTTTTTTTGGTAACCTTTTGAGATCTATATATCCCAAGGTGATTCATTGACATCACTTTACAAGATTAACCACACCAATTTGAATTATGGTAATAACAACTAAACATAACTCAAAATTCAAAAATAGAATAATTGAAAGGGCGTTTGGTTCCATTTATGTTTATTGAGTAAATGCTGTCATATAGGCGCCCCATCATCAAAGGCCTCATTATGTGCATCCATATTTGCGAACATCAATTTCGGTGTGCCTCTCTCATTTTAGGAAGCTTCATTTTGGAACTTCCCCCAACGGGTAAGTGTTTATTGGCACCTTTGCTGATGTGGTGCCTAATGGCGCCTATATATCATAAACACCCTCATTAATTGCTTTTCTCGGTTTTGCAGTCACACAAGTACAAAACGTTTACTAAATAAACATAAACGGAACCAAACACACTGAGTTTAGCTCGATTAGAAACATATGGGTAGTTTTAGAGATTTACCCTTGAAAATAGGGAAAATTCCCGATTAGTACCTTGCAGCTTGGGCATAGTGCCACATTGGTCATCGAATTTTAAAATGTGACAATTCAGTATCCCAACTTTCAAAACATGACAATCCCTATTAACTAATTGTTACCAGCCATTAAATGGCATTTGAAAAAGACACAAATGCCCTTTGAGTATCATATAATTTTTTTATCAACCATTCAAACATTGACAAAAAATTAACAATCTCAAATATTTGCTTCTTCTATTCAAAAAAGTTGGAGTCATTAAAATGTCCACTAAAACAAGACCCCAACTTTCTTAAATGGAAAAGGCAAAAATTTGGGACTATTAATTTTTTGTCAACATTTAAATGGTTGTATCTTTTTAAAATGAATTATCTCATTTTAAAGTTCGGGGATCAAAATAGCACTAACCCATTACAGGATACTAATTTTAAAATTTTCCTTGAAAATGTGCCGCGAATTCTAATAGCGTTGGCCCCTACACTCGATAGTCGAATGTAGGAACTAGGATTAGAGAAAGAGATAGCAGCAATTAGCAGGCTTCTTCCGATTTCTTTGTCCGGCCGGCCGCTGATATGAGTCGGAAGAGAGACACCCGATATGCATCTTCCTCTCTCCCGAAGCGGCGTCGCCCCATGCCTTCCCCCTCCAAAGAACCCGACACTGTGAAGCCGACATCAGCGGCCGTTGTGGTAACGGGACTCGGCTCTGATTGCTCCGTCCTCGACCTCAAATCACGATTCGAGATGTATGGTTCCATTTCTCGCCTCCGTATTGACCGTGGTGGAGTTGGCTATATCACCTTCCGTTCCAAGGAATCCGCCCAGTCTGCTATTAACGCTTCCCTCGATCCCTCCTTCGGTATCATCGTGGATTCCCATAAGGTATGCGGTACTACTCTTCATCTTCTTCCTTCTGTGTTTCTTTATAAATATTTTGATCGTAGAATTTGAAATTCAGCTTTGGATGCTTCCTTTGCCAGTTGGTAGCTAGTTACCCTCCAATTTGTTAGGGTTTTATAAATTGAATCTTTTTCTTTGTCAGATGAGTCTGTGGAAATTAGGGTTCGAGTCATGTACTTTACGCTTAACCAGACTTTTGTGAAACTAAGGGAAAATTCTGCACATCTGGTTGCATAATGAGTCAACGGAACGGATTTATGTGTCGCAAATGTTTTGGTCTCGACGTCTCGTCTGTCCAGTCCACTGCTGTAAAGACTTAGTGGAATATAACTATGCTCGAGTCAGAGAGGAGTGAAGCAAGCAACGCTATATAAGGGATTTCCATATTTTAATTCGCCCAACTGGGTAACCGTTGCAACATTGGGGGGATTCTGCTGCAGATATGTATGCTATATCTGCAAATTGATGGTTCTAGACTTCTAGTCGTGTTGATTTTCAGCGAAGGAGAACCAACTTTTACTTCCCACGCTCAGTGTCTTGGATTTTCTTCAAATATACGAATTTTTCCCCATGTAAAAGGAGCAGGAAACAATGCTTTGGCCGTAATATCTGCCCCTTTTACAGGGAAATAAACGAGCCTAAAGAACTTATGTTGTTCATTGATTAGTAACACTTTACTGTTCATTAGCCTGGAAAGGAAAAAAGAATGGACACCGGCTGGTTACCTTGTTGATAGCAATAGTAGTATGAAATGGCAGTTCTTCTGCAGATAGTTAAGAGGTTCATGGACTCAATTAACTGGAACCTAGATAAAATCTTGGGGCTCATATTGAGCCAGCCTAAGGTGTTCACCTTTAAACTTTCATTCAAGTGGGAACCACACCTGAGTTACTAAAAGTTCTAGAGTAAAGAAAGATACGAACATCAAAACCCAATTATTAGCATTTTTAGACAAAGAAAAGAAATGGAAGGAAAAACATGGAGACTAGACGAGATAAATAAAGGGAAAAAGATATGGGTGATGAAAGTCCAAGTTGCACAACTACCTTTTCGACTTCCCCTCTCAGATCTGTGTTTTCGGTTTGGAGAAGTAGTCATAGGAGTTTTTGGTGATGATGGGTTGTGGAAGAGAAGTGGGGATGGTTTCTTTTGGCAACAACATTTGGCAGGGACAATAGGCAAGGTTGGTAAAAGAGAGAGGAAGAGGAAGTAGACAATGATTTGAGAAGATTTAGTTCTCACCTTCTATATATCTTTCTAATAATTATTGAGTAAAAATAGTGGAATTCTATGTTTTATTTTCACAATGGTGTTGTCAATATAACTTTGTGGTTGGTTTGCAGGTCCAGGTTTCGTGGGCAGATGATCCTCTTCCTCAGTGGAGGGAAGGAATTGGGCTCTCTTCTAGCAAGGAGCGGTCCTCATCCAAGTTGCTGCGAGCAGAAGTACCTCTAAGGAGACATGGCAGAGGTAATAGGCTAAGTACAGGAGGTTCAATAAAGCCTGGAATTGGGTTAGACTTGCCTTTCAAAGGCCGGGAAATTGTTGCCTATGATGATCTTCTCTAACTTGCAAAGAATTTGAAGGGCTCCTTTCTTCCATTACAAATACGAATCCTGCTCAAGGTATGGAGAGGAATTAAATTATACTTGGGCCCGCTGCTGCTGCAATGGTGGGACCATTTCAGAACTAGAAAAGCATTTGGTTGTGAGTGTGACATCAAATTTTGTTTTCCCAACTCTTGAAGGCGTTTAATGTCTGGTTAGTATCTCTTGTTTGGCGAGTTAGTTGGGTAAATATCCGAAGCCATCTTTTATGCGTTTGGCTTCTGATGCATCAGTTTGTTCTTCATCTTTCACTCTCTTTCTTTGGATCTGATTCTGTATTCTATTAGATATATTGAGTAGAGATGCTATTGTACTCAATGTAGTAAGGGAATGGGCTGTTGTCTACTTGAGTTGTTTCCTTTTTCTTATGAGCTAGTTCGGTGAATTAATTCGGTGGCACATGCATCTGCATACTCAACTGTGTGTGTCTGTGTGTGTTTGTGTGTGTGAGAGAGAGAAACAGAAAGAGAGAGAGACCCCCATTACGTACTGGCTGTTTACATTGGACCCATACTAAGAGTGTCATTGCTCAAGAGAATGCACAGGACTTTAGAAGGAAATTGGTGGAGGTCAGGACAAGCTATCTAGGCACCTATCAATGAGAATTGAGATATTGCAATCTTTCTTTCCTTTTTAGGCTTTAATCATTACTGGTATCTTGTGGAGGTAAGTTGGTCAATTAGGTAAACAACTTAATTATATTTTTGCATTGTTATTCCCTTGAGGCAATATTTGGTTTACAACCCTTGGATTGGTTTTGCTGCCTAAGGGTGGATAAGTTGTTTACCCACCTGTCAAAAACATAATCTGTTTCCTGATTGCCTGTTACCGGTAAGTAATGGCAAAAAAGAACATTTACTTTAAAAGTTACCCAGACAACTTTTTCCCACGAACCACTTGCCTGGGGAAAGCAGGCACCAACAATTTGGGTGCCAGAAACGAACAAGGCCTTGATGAAATCTTCTTTGCTATTAATAAAAGGGACAATCCACTGAATTAGGATAAAAATAGTAAGTATGAAGTGATATATATATACATAGTTAGGGTAGATTTCTTAGGAAGTATAAACGAACAAGGCCTGTTTATTCTCGTTCTTGAATTCATCAGGGTAGATTTCTTAGTTCAAGTCTTGAAAATTAACCAAATTCCGATGGAGATTCGGAGAATCAGAACTTACCTCTATTCTTAGTTGCGTCATGCTTAACCCTTTTCTTTCTTTTGCTCTAATGTGCGCTGAAGAAGCTTTAAATAACTCTAGTGTGCACTGGTTAGAATAGAAAGTTGTACCTCCAAATTTGTTTTGAAATTACTTGCAAATCTTAGCAAAATTACTAAATGTACATAGAGGCCCCAAAGATAGGGGAAGAAAGCCATAGAAATTGGAGGGGCGCAGCCTAGCAACTGTGCTCCAACTATATTCCACTGCCATTCTCTTTCAGAGACGGTCTGAATGAGATTCAGAGAATTCACTTGGGCAAGGTGACATGACCTCTTCTTCTAGTATCTGCAAGACCTCACTCATAGAGGGACGAGCATCTGGGTTTGCATTGGTGCATCTAGAAGCAATATCTAGAACTACTTCCACAGTCCCCACATCTGCATCAGTGCATCTTTTGTCCACAATGTCTTCCAACCGTCTTTCTCTGACTAGAGTGTTCATCTACAAATTTTTGCCAGAATAGATGTCAAATAAAATGCTCTTGCATTGAGAAGACTAGAGGTTCTAAAACACAAAGAAACAAAGATATAATTGATCAGGTGGTTACAGTCTTCTTTTTTCTTTTTCTTTTTAGGGGGAGAGGGGGGGGGGTAAAGTAATGCAAGTTGAGAACCTAAGGAAGTTTTCTCTTCATTGCCAGAGGAAAAATTGGGTTGGCATCCCCTTTTCAGCAGTAGGCAAGACAAGAAAAAAAGAAAAAAGCACAGAAGCAAAATGTAGTTTTTCAAGAACTTACCCAGCCAACAATATTTAAGCCCTTCTTGACGAAAGATGGATCATTAGGCCTCTTCCCAGTTACAAGCTCTAACAAAAGAACTCCATAGCTATAGACATCTGATTTCTCGGTTGCTTGCCCACTCTGCAGATATTCTGTAAAGTAGTAAATAAGATGTAAGCAAACAATGTCATTTACATTATATTACAGTTAAAGTTTGGAAAAACAAAACATTATAAGTTTGTAACATGAAGTGGCTAATATCAAAAGTGCAATTAGACAAAATGTAATGGTTATTAGAGTTTTATTACCAAATTTTCCAACATGAAACCATGTTTATCCAAAAAAGGGTGCCCTCACCTAATATGCTCTTTTTTTTTTTTTATCAGTTGGAGGATTATTGCCCAATACAATTTACTACTCCTTGGATGAAATAAAATGAAATATGGCATCAGTGCATGCACAACTGTCAAACCCAAACACCCAAGATTTTTGTATCAAATTACATCAGCAGCAACCTTTTTGACCCCGTTGACATAAAAGTCAAACCTAAACTGGGTCTCTCAAAGTACCAAAATAGGCCTCTTTAGGCTAACCTGTAAAATACGTTATACGTGTAACAACACACACCTGGTGCTAAATAACCAAAAGTGCCAGCAACAACGGTAGTGACATGTGCATCCTCATCAACTAGAAGTTCGGAAAGACCAAAGTCAGAAACATGAGGCTCCAGATCTTCATCCAGGAGTATATTGCTAGATTTTATGTCTCGATGCACTATTCTTGGACAACAATCATGGTGTAAATATGCCAATCCACGAGCAGAACCAAGAGCAGTTCTTAGGCGAGCATTCCAGTTCAAATGTTCTTGCTCATTCTCTGAGACAACATAAGGAAATACATCAATAATACTAATTGCCACAGTAATACCAACGATGTTGGTTTTGTCCAGAAATGATAAATGAGCATTTCCATGGGAAGTCGTACAAAATTAATGCAGTTAAATGTTTTTCCTTCTAAGTGATGATTGTCAAATCTTTCCTTACTGTCTAAAATAGTGCAACAGTCCAGATGGCCTTTTGTTTTGATACCTAATGATATTCTTCTTATAGGAGAGAGTGAATGGTGTGTGTAAGGTCCCCAAGTTACATTATATGAACTATGAAGTATATGCCAGTATTCAGTTAAAGAATTGGCATACCATGCAGAAAATGATCTAAGCTGCCCAAGGCTACATAATCATAGATGAGAAGCTTCACATTTGTAAGTCTGCAGTACCCTCGCAGGTTGACAAGATTTATATGCTTGATGCTACCCAAGATCTCAAGCTCCCTTTCAAATATCTTATCAGATCCTTCACAACTTCGGTCGATCCTTTTAACAGCAAATGTACTATAATCATTCATTACCATCTTGTATACAGTGCCAAATCCTCCTGATCCCACCACATCTTCTTCATCAAGTGACTCGAGCTTTTCTATGATTTCAGAGGAGGAATAAGGAAGATCACCTTGGAATGTTATGAGCTTGATACCTATTAGTAAGAAAATAATTAGGTTTAGATAGGCAGATGGAAAGATAGAAAGCAGATACGTAAAACAATTTTATTACCTGGATCCCGACCAACTTGCTTTTTTACTTCGGTATATTTTTTAGCAACTCTTTCTTTCCTTGATAGTAAACAAACCCAGAGGAAAACAAGGAGCAGCATAAGCACAAGACCCATTGCTGACATGGCACCAATAAGGACCCCATTGAGGTAATGAGGGACTCGCTTAGTAGGGACTGCAGTAAATTCCATCCATCACAGATGGTTAAACCAGTGTTAGTACTGTTTGAATGATACCACTTGTTTTTAGGTATTGCAGAAGGAAAATAAACTCTGACATTATTGCTAATAACAGTTTCTCAGAATATCATATGCTCAAGTGTGTTCTACATCTTACCTGGTGCTTCATTAGCCTCTGCATGTGGTAATTCCGCAGGGAATCCCAATGAGCTTAGGCATGGTTTCTGAATCTGATGACCACACAGATCTAAATTGCCAATAAACCTGTGAATAAGCAAGGTACTTGACAGAATTAATCCAAACAGAAAGTATGCAAAAGAACTTATCAGGTGAGTTAAGAGAGGAAAATTAATACAGGGCAGTACATGATACTATACTAGAGATACCATCATGGCTTGTAAAAAAAAGCCCATTGATCTTCTTTGTCCAATTGTTAGGCTGCACCTATGCATGTTCGAACCCCTAAAGCAGCTGGTTCAGATGATTATCATCGGTATTTTCTCAATGTTGACGAAGTACATAACAACACAAGTAGGACTTTTGCTTGGGACTTGAGAATCTCTTTGGAGGGGTTTGATCCATATTCAGTCCACCACTCCCAAGACCCCAAATAGCTGAAACCAACATAAGGCAATGGCCTTTTTTTGCCTCAAAATGAAAATCATATTTACCAAGCTAAAAAGCCACCAAAACTTGACATGCTCTCTGAAGCACAGAATGTGTGTAGTTCAGGAACTTAACAACCACCACTACAAAATGGAATATCCAATTCCATATGTACATATTCCACCTATTCAGTCTCCTATTTTGAAGGTAAAATGCAACAGGAGAATGGCAAGCAGTAAAATAATTCACAGTAGCCGGTGTGTCATGCTGATGCACTCAAAAGTATCAACACCCAACATTTTACAGGTTCAACCTGCCTAGATTTTTTATGTCAGAATTGATCTTTCCAAATTACTTAACATCTATCTATGGCATTTTACTCGCATCTTTTATATAGAGGGTCACATTTAGGATCTTCACCAAAAACTATCATGATAACTAAGCATAGTTAAAATTGAGGGAAGATGATAGGTGACTTACGACTTTTTCCCAAAGGTGACCAACATGCCGAAGTTTGGAATTTCACCAGACAAGAAATTGGTTGATAAGTTCCTGAGATGTCAGCACCAAATAAGTACATTATTGACATGCAATCTGATGCGTTTACTACAGAGCATTATTAATTATTTTCATGTTTTTAACTTACAGAAAGCGTAAATGTGTCAGACGGCCAATAGAGGGAGGTATGGATCCCTTCAGCGAATTGCTAGAGAGGTCCCTGCATTTCATGTCCTGAAATATTAAACTCAAGACGACTTCAAATCATTTACTCTAGTGAGCACTGCATGTAATGTCATACAAGTATAAAACCTATAAGATTTAGAATAACTGTAAGGCACTTCATTTCTCCAGAATCCAAGTAAAGGAAAACCAGAAATCTTACAGTATGGTGAGGTGAGAAAGATTTCCAATTTCTGGTGGAATGATTCCTTGGAGGTAATTAGCCCTCAAGTATCTGTTGATTCATTATTGGAAACCAGAACAGTTAATGTGACTCGTATTTAGGTAAACAAAAAACTAATAAAGGTGGAAACTAGAAGGGGAAATATTCCATTAAAAACATAGAAAGAGTCCTTTTTCTCTTACAGTGCTTTGAGCTCAGTACAGTAGGTAAGTTCAGTAGGAATTGATCCATGCAAGCTGTTCTGGTGAAGTGCCCTGATCAACAAAAGACAAATGAATAGAGAATATATCTACATAGTAATAACACAGAAAACAGTAGAAAAAGAGGGCTTCCGGCTCCCCCCCCCCCCTTCTCCTATTTTCGAGAATAAAGTAAAGTAGAAGACTTACAATCTCTGCAACCTACTAAGCTTCCCAATGCTTGGTGATATGATCCCTCCAAGTTGCATGTAAGGAAGGTTTCTGAGGATCCCATTGTAGAAAGCATAAGAAAGAATAAACGCAGAAGGACAAAGAGAAGAAATAGAAATGAAAAGTAAGTAGTTAAGAAATTGTGACATACATTGAACTGACCCGTTGGTCATGGGGATGGCAAGAGATGCCGGTCCAGTTGCAGGGGTTGTCATCAGAAGCCTTCCAGTTTCTGAGGAAACTCCGACTATCGTTCAGAGCCCCTTTTATTTCCAGCAATGTCTTGCCTGAAGACAAAGAACAATGTTAGACGCACCAACTAGAGAAATATAGCTGCAAATAAGAGGAGAGGAGGAAGAGGAGCAAGACTGGAGGAAAAAAAAAAAAGGAACACTACCATCTTCAGTGAGAGCAAGAGTGAAGGTGCTTAAAAGGGTTGCTCCAGCAAGTGCCGAGAGGAGCAAAACCAGCAAACCCATTTCCTTTCCTGAAGCAAAAGGAGCTTATCTTAGCTAGCTTCCTCTCAGTATTTCGATTCACAGTATACAGAGGTTAGAGAGATGACAGCAAATGAAAAGGGGTGCTAGTGAGAGAATGGCGGGGAAAGCAGGAGAATCAGGTTTAAAGTTTAAAAACGAGAGCAAGAGATTGGGATTTGGGAGAGAGTGAAGATTTTAATTTTTACTTCTGCAGACTACAGTTTCATTATTATTATTATTATTTTACTATTTCAAATTTGTTGTCGGATACTGGGCCTCAGACTTTAGTCCTCCGGATAGAAAGTGTGTATACGTGAAGTCGTGCAGGAAGAAATAGCCGTTGCCAATAGGGATTAAAAAAAAAAGAAAAGAAAGAAGATGGCTTGGGCAGCCAAACAGAGACCAGAGAGTAGAGACAGCTGCAGATGTCGGAGTGGCTCAGACAAATTTAAAAGCGCAATGAAAAACAGGACAAGAAGGAGGTGTAAAACTGTAAATGAATGTGGATTTGTGGAGTTGTCTTCATGCACCACGGGACCCACATATAATAGATCAAAATGGGGATCATGAAATCCTCCGAGTTGGTGCACCACATCATCATACTCGGTTGTCCCACCGGCCACCACCACTCGTGAGTCGTGATATTCCGGCAATGAGATGAAAACTGGGAATTTGTCGTTTCTATAGTTTTATTTTAATAACAGAATCTGTATAAAATATAAATTATCAGAGATGGACCCACAGCACGATAATCGAAATACTATGCTGGACCAATCATGATATGCCACGTCAGACAGATACGCATATGGGGGATGGGGATTGGGGGACCCATGGCTGCAACTGAAATCAACATGATTTGACCATCTCCACTGTGCATTTCCAATTCAAAAATCAAACCCTATTTGAGTACATTTCCAATCAAAGGATTAATTTTGATTTCTCCAAAAATAATTTGATTTCTAAAGCCTAGTTCTTCTAATGCTAAAGCTCTTGGATTCTTCAATGCTAAGCTTAAGACCACCATTTATACGAGTTCGGCTTCAGTCAGGCAAAGGCCGTTCCACCAGCTTTCCTGTCTTGCATCGAGAATATATCTGTACTTATATTTTATTTCATGGAGAGATATTTTTAATACAAAGTTGAAAAAGGATGTTAGAATGAGACTCATATGCTTCTCATACCTGATGCCTCAGATGTACATCTTATCATGCATTGGGAACATCTCCTGTACTTATTAATTATTATTCACGAGAAGTGTTTCTAATACACATATAAGGGCTCGTTTGATAACAGCTTAGAATGGAGCGATTTATTGTTTTGTTTTTCTCAATAAGATAAAATAATTAAATATTCAAGAACTCAATAATGAATAATTTATCTGATTTATTTTCTTAAGTCATGGTTCAAATATCGGTATTTGGAGGACCAAAATAAAAAGTATCGGTACTTTTAATATGCAAAAATATCATACCTTGAATTTTTCAATAGTTGATATTTTGGTGTGGGCATAGTTTGCCTTGACGGAAGCCAATCTCCATTTATACACATACAAGGGTTCGTTTGATAACAGCTTAGAATGGAGCGACTTATTGTTTTGTTTTTCTCAATAAGATAAAATAATTAAATATTCAAGAGCTCAATAATGAATAATCTATCTGATTTATTTTCTTAAGTCATGGTTCAAATATCGGTATTTGGAGGACCAAAATAAAAAGTATCGGTACTTTTAATATGCAAAAATATCATACCTCGAATTTTTCAATAGTTGATATTTTTCTTTTTCTTTTTTTTTCCTATTTTTAATTTGATAATTCACATATAGACAAGCTCAAAGTATCGATATGTATCGGCCGATACGTATCGTGCCGGTGGCTTCTCGATAAGCCCCTACAGGGATTATATCGGGTCAGCCACTGGTTCAGAGGATAGTCGGGCCTTAAACCGGCCCCTCTTAGTCGATTTTGAAAAAAATAAATAAAACATAAAAAACAATGGCATATGTCAATATGCCGATATATAATATATTTAGAACCTTGCATATAGATATATCCATATAGGATGAGTTTTAGTATATGTTTGGCATCAATGATGTAGATAGAAAACGGTGCATCAACCATGTGTTTAGCTATGCCCATAGTAATATTATGGCTAGCAATGTGTTGTGGTGAATAAATCAGGATTCACATAAAAAAATCAGTTTAGCTATGATCATAATTTGTAGATAATGATCTTAATACAAGAATAGAGTACGAATATAAACCTCTCACCGGCTAAGTAAGGCACCTTGATCAGATGCCGACAATCTTGATTTATACATTAGAAGATAGGAGGGAATGATTTATCTCCCGAATAGAATAGAATGGTAGAATAAGATTCATGTATTAGACTCCATTTGGTTGGGATAAGGCTTAATTGAGTTAGATTTAGACTACCCCCAAATTGAATTGGCAGCCTCAATCAGGTGAAGCCTGAAAGATCTCATAATATGAAGTACTAGCAAATGCGGAAAGGAGACTGCAACTTTTTTAGTCACTATTCCATTAATTTTTAAGCAGTTTTTATCATTGTTTTGAAAATCGGACTTGATCGAACAGTTGGACCATCTGACCAGGAATTGGTCAGATTTTTGGGTCCGGTTTTAGTCTAAACCGCTGTTTTGAAAAAAAATGTTGATTTGGTCAGAGAACCATTGATCCGAACAGTTGAACAGTTGAATTGTTTGACTCAAACAACGGTTTACGGTTTAATGAAAAATTATTTATTTATTTATTTTGTTGGGAGGATTAAAGAAAAAAGGATAGATTTCAGATTTGAGATCATTATGAGAGAGAGAGAGAGAGAGATCAGATATGTCGCTGTCGCTGCCGCCATCATCATCAAAGTATCGACACGTATCGGCCGATACGTATTGTTCTGGGACCCCTCCGATACATCGGAGGTCTGACCGGTTCAGGGGGTAGAGGAGACCTAAACCGGCCCCCCTTAACTGGTTGCAAAAATAAAAAACAAAAAAAAGCTCCAAAATGTGTATCAATTCGCCCAATACGCCTCTATTGACGTATCGATATTTTGAACCTTATATGATACATTTTACCTTAATATTCCAATTTAAGGATTAAATTTATCAAAGTGTTGAAACTATTCAACTCGGATAATCGAACTACTGACCCAAAAAGCCAGTGGCCAAAATGGTTCTGTTTTAGGATCGATTTTTAAAACCTTATTTTTTAGTCTTAAAAATTGGCATATATAATCTTTATAACATGAGACAGTAATCATGCAAATTAAATAAGGTAATGCTGAGGTGCTGGAATGGATGTAGCTGAGGCAAAGTAAACCCAATTTGGAGAGAAGATTTCTTGATATAAAAGACAATGGATGAAGCAATCTGTAGTGCATTCCTACCAGTCTCTTGCTGGCTCTTGTTAATAGATAACCAGCTTAGTAGCTCACCAGTTGTCAAAAATATATCCGAGATTGTGTCCTTGTATTCTGTTTGAGGATCTCCTCCATGATCACCAAAGTTGGTCAAAGAGTTTGTAGTCTGGTTACCTTCCCTAAAATTATTTGGTTTGAAGGAAAAAGGTAAAGAAACGTAGAAAAATCTATACAAGGTTCCCTTAAATCAAACACAGTTTCAAGGAATTCAGATCTGCTATCAACAATACACTACCAATATATCGCAACCGGCAACTACAGTTATACATCTCTCCATAAATGACAAGAGAGATGTTCTCAATGTACATCTGCAATGGTCTGTTGGGATCCCTGCCCGCCTTCAACTATGTTGACTTGTTGAGATTTGGTGTTTGGGTGCAGCGTATGAGATCGGCTTCAATCAGCACAAGGTCCATTCAAACACTGTTTGAACAGCTTTTATAGCCTTGCATTAGGAATATCTGCGTACTTATGTACTTTATTTCACGGGAAGATATTCCTAATGCATGACTATGAGGGTGCTTGGTTCCGTGGGCATTTATTCAATAAACTCTATTACATAGGTGCCACTTCAGCAGTTCTTCTCTTATGCTCTTCCATACTCATTGAGAATGATAAAAATTGACTTTAATTTCTATGCACGTCTACTATTTGGGGAAGTTATTTTTTAAAACTTCCACAAACAGTTAGGAATTTTTTTCACTGTTATGCTGATGTAGTGCTTAATTGTCATAAATGATTATAATTATTACCTTTCTCAGTTTACAATCAAATAAAATACAAACATTGAATGAAAAAACGTAAACAGAACCAAACACATATTATAAAGCCTGTTTGATCCAGCCTTGCACTAACTGAAGCTGAGTTCACAGAGTATACGTTAGTTAATTAGTTTTTTGGTGGCCTCTATAACATCCAAAGTTTAGAACAGGATTGAACAAGTGAACAAGATGATAATTACTTAGTTAGACAAACGTTGTAACCAATCGTTTCTCATTTAAACACATTGGGGCAAGCAATTCTGACGTGGATTAATAGATCCAGCTGGCCTAGTAAAAATCTTGGGACGGATGCTTTCGTTCGTCCTTGAATGAGCGAAAGTGAACTCATCTAGATGCATTCAATATTTCATTTTTTCTACACAAGCAAATATTTTTAGGTGCTGTAAAAGATCTCATTCAAAAATATCTTTAAGATATTATACATATAAAAATAACAGTTAAAAATTTTTACATCCAAAACATAAAAAAAAATTGAGAATTAGTCAGGAATCAAGAATAGTCGTGATTTCCTAAATTTAAAGGGATGTTAGGAATTGTGGCCATTTTTCAGCACGTCGGATTCACATAGACGTTTCAACAAACATCTATGTATTTCATTGTTTGGTTCAGCCAATTATTAATAAATCGGGCATGCCTTGAAAATCGGGACCCCAATAGTTGATTGATGTGTATCCTATGTGGTAATTATCTGTCAGCACATATATGAAAAGCGGTGATAAAAATCACCTTACCAAACAGCATAGTATTGTTCACTGCCTATGTGGCAAAAATGTTTTTTTTTTTTTTTTTTGTGAAAAACAGGTCTTGGAAGTATTGATGTTTTTTCTTGAAAATCAGTTCCAAAAAACACCCACACTTCCAAACACCATGTAAAACCTTAGCGGGGAGGAAATTCTACAATTCAATATATACAAAATAATATAAATCCTTGAGAAAAACAATTTTTTTCTTATGACTAAGTATAAAATAGATTTGGCACATGAAAAATTCGATACATGCATAGTAACAAATATAACTACATTGCCTAAAAAAAGAATATTACTATATCGATGTTGTTGCTCTAGAAAACGGTGACACATCAACATCACGATAGAAAAATTGGTGCTCCAGAAAACGATAACATGTTTAGAACCATTTTTCCATAAAAAATAGTGCTCCAAGTCATGTCATAGAAATCGATAAGGCGTGGTTTGGAGCAACACCAAATTTGACATTTTTTCAATTTGGAGCTCGTTGCTTCCAACGGGGATATGATGTGGCAATGACATGGACTTCCTATAATGAGTACTAGTGCTGAAAACAGATATGAAGCACTGGTACCAAACAAAAGGTGTTGTACCTGGCAACAACATTTCCAAACAAAAAAAAGACAGTTTTCTCATAAAACAGTACTTCTGACCCACACATAGAAAACGGTGTTGTATATGCAGCATTGATGCCAAACATATACTAAATCAATGTAAACATTCCCATCAGTTGAGTTTTATATCAACAAAATTAGGGGGTTTTTACCATTTAATCCACCTTTGAAATACTAGCTCCATCGTACAGTTTAGGGTAGGTGCTAGCTCGAAATTGATGCCACTTCATGGGCGGGTATGAATGTTATAAGTGGAGCTGTTTATAAATTTAAATTGTTCTAAGTTCGCACTTCAAATCAGAGTTCTGAGATGGAGTGCAGTGCAAAAATCCCAAAAATCAATTATAGTATTTGCATGATTATCACTTTAAAAAGTTCCAACGGTTCACTGAAATTTTAAACCCATTGGCATTGAACTCCATCCATGTACTTTTACATGGATGAAGTTTACACTATGAGGGACGACAGTCTGTAAACGAGGGACTACAGTTTGTTGGCTCCTCACTAGCCATGGTTTTCTGATCATTATTGACCCAGACACTCAGACCGTTTGACTTGAAAATCATTTAGGCCGCCAGTTCCAAAAACGATTGACTTTGTCATTTGACCATTTTTTGTTTTAATTATTTTTAGGGTAAATTACAATGACCCTCCTGTAATATGGGGTTTGTGACAAAGACCCCCCTATACTATGGGGTTTATGACAAAGAGCTCATGTACTTTGTTTTGCGACAAAGACCCCTTTTTGTACTATGACAATGAGACAAAGACCTCATTCCGTTAGCTTTCCGTCCAAAAATGTCGTTACAATATTTTTTAATCCCCATACTACCCTTGTAATAACCATATGAGAAAAACACTGTTCATCTTCCCCGACCTTCCAATACTACCCTTCTGTTCCTTCACATTTCTCTCTCTCCTGTCTCTCCCCCGATCTCTCTTCTTGCCCTTCCCCTTAACAATGTCGGGATTGAACCCATTTAATTCAATCCCAATCTTTCTCTCCATTACTGCTTTTTTCAGATCGCTCTCTCTCTCTCTCTCTCTCTCTCCATTTGCCTGCTTCCCTAATTAGTTCAAAACTTTCAACTTGTCCTCAAATGTAGCCGAATAGGCAGCTTTTGCCACCGTGAAATTGCAAAGTGAACGCCCATCTTCTTGTTAGGGTTCGTTACAGTGAGACCGACATCCCAATTGCCGGTGACCTGAGAGTTGTTGATGTTCATAGAGGAAACAGAGACCGAATTGACTCGGGACTCAGGTACATGAGGACGGAGAACGAGCCACACGATGAAAGTGATGGTGCTGATGATGAGGAACATGACAATAATTGTGGTGATGAGGCAACAAAAGAAGGTAGTGCACCGTTGATCGTAATGCGGGGTATAGTATGGATTGGTGTTGTAGTAAGCTACTGGCGGTGGTGCGGTCTATGGGTAGGATGTGTCGATGGCGATGGATGCGGCGGAGTAGCTAGACTGCGCTGGTGGGTAGCTATTGGAGCTGTAGCTAGCTTGCCCTTGGTGGTAGCTGGGTAGCTTGTTACTGGTTTGTTTGGATCTTCCATGATCGAATTGAAGTCGAGAGCTTTCTCAAAAAAATAAAAAAAAAGACTGAAGTCGAGAGCGAACGAATGAGATAAGTACCAGATAAGAAAATCAGAAGTAGAAGTGGATCGGAAGTGAAACCCATGGTGGTGGAATTGGAGAAATTAGTTTCAGTTGTAGAAAAAAAAAATAAGTAGTTAAGTAAGGATATGTTCTTCAATGAATCTACCCTTGTCAAGTGGTGGAGAAAACAAGACCCTGAGATCAGGTCGGTGGCTACCATTATTGCAGGACTCGTGGATGGCAAAGGAAGGATTAGCAACGATGACAGGGTCTTCAGGTCGGGATGTGATGTTGGCTCCTGCTCTGCAAGTGTTGCAGGGAAGGCGGCTCCGACTCCGGCTCCGCAAGTGTTGTAGGAGGAGAGTCTTCGGCTCCGTCAACTACAAGTCCTTCCATCCTTTTTTTTCTCCCTCCGCTGATTGCCATGGAAGCAGAAGAAGTCGACGATGACGATGAGAAAAAGATGGAAGACAAAGATATGGGCAGACATTTGTTGTTGGGCTATCAAGCATTGTAGTTTCCCATGATTGCAGCATCGTCGGCGACGGCTATAGAGACGAGATTGAAAACAGAGAAGAGAAGAAAGGGAAGATGAGAAATGGGTTTCCTCTGTCCTTTCATTTCGGAGAGTTGGGAGAGAGAGAATGAGAGAGGACGGTGAGCGAGGGGAAAAGAAGAGAAAAAAGGGAAAACAATAGGTTAAATAGGTTTTAAGAGAAAAAGGGCAAAAAATGAAAATAGAAAAGGTTTAGTGGGGTATTTTGGTAATTTAGCACATTCCGTCGTCTCACTTAACGGTCAAGGGGTCTTTGTCGCAAAACAAAGTACAGGGGTCTTTGTAACAATGGGCGGTCGAACCTCTGACTCGGAAACCGGTGGCCAAAGCGGTTCCGGTTCCGGGTCATTTTTTTAAACATTGGCTCAAGTTTTCTCCAGTCCTCCAGTCCTCCGCCGCCCCCCCGGCGTTGTCAGAACAGAGAAGTGACGCTCCCCGCCTTAATTAGGGAATTACGGAGTAGCTTCGTCGTTGTTAGCAGTGATTACGAAAGAGGTTTGCACCTGGCCGATGGACGAAATGAACATTGAAGAAGAAACAGAAATGGAGGAGGAGATTGGTGGCGAGTGGTGGAGTTGGGGAGCTGGAACTGACGGGCAGCTTGGCACGGGAAGGCTCGATGACGAACACCTCCCGCAACGGCTGCCTGACCTCTCTTCTGGCCGACGCATCTCTCAGCTTGCTTGTGGTGGTGCCCATGTTATTGCCTTGTCTGGTAATTTCACATAAGAGGCCATTTAAGCCATTTACATCATCATGCCTTTCTGATATGCTCGGAGTTTTTGTCTGTTCTTTCTGGTCGCGTTAAGGTCCAAAACGTGCTCATTGCTCACATAAAGTCTGGAATTTCACCTGTAACAGATACGGTTATGGCTTTCTAGGATTCTGAAGTGCGATATTATTAATTTACTCTACAAATCTTTTTAATATTTCTAATTTGAGGTTGTTCTTTTCCTTTTTAATGAATGAGAGCATGCGTATGGAAATGGAAAATCGAGGGTGATCACAATTTTGAATTTGTGGTAAATTCACTGTAAGTATGCTAAAGCATGTACTTCGACATACTATATGACTCAGCTTCTGCAACATTGGCATAATTGCTTTGAATTCTTTGATAAGTCTGCTCCAATGGTATGTATACTGTTGGTTTCCAATATGGCTACTTGACAACCTTCAGGTGCCCCTCATAAGGGAAAATCCAGAACAAAGAAAAAGTAATTATGCTGCACGAAAGGCATGCAATTTTTATTTTGATAGTGAAGGCATGTGATCTTTGATCTTTTCTAATCAACAACGAACAGGTAAACACTTGATATTGATGCAAAGGAAAAGCAACCCCTGCTAATTATATGGAGCTAATAACCCGGGAAATCAATACAATGGGTGTACAAGACAGCATAATGCTTAGCAAAGAAAAAGTATACGGATTAGCTCATCTTCCCGGCTGGTGCCCACCAAAGAAAAATGTATGTTATTATACAGTGACTAATTAGTTAAGGATGCTATATCAAGCTTATCCCACAGACGATTTTCTTCTCAAAATACTCAAAAGTTTGATCTGCTTGAGTTCTTTGAGAATACAGCTAAAATGTTATATGCACCCCATAAAATGATCAACATCTCTGCTGGATTATAATCTTTGGAAATACTTGGATTATAATCTTTCCATGGGACTGGGAACAGGGGAGGGGCTATATTTCTATTTTGTGAAGGAGCAAGGGATAAGTGAATAATCAGCCAACTCTTCTTTGTTCATAATTCAGACACATAATAGGTATATTTGGCATAACCAGCTTCTGATCATATTGTAATCTTATTTATTTGGAATCAATGTTTTAAAACACGGAGGCATGACACAAGGCATTCCACTACCTAGAGGCATGAGGCGTGGTTCAGAACACAAGAGGCATAAGCCTCTTGAACACAAGGATTAAGAGGAGGGGGGGGGGGTAGGAGGAGGATGAAGAGGAAGGGGGAATCTCATTTTTTCTTTATTTTTAATAAAAATCTTTTATATTAAGAAGAATAAAGATGCATAACATTAGTTGAAAGGGGGTTATTGTCGAAGCGGAGTAAGACCCCCTAACTCAAAAAAAAAAAAAAAAAATTGGGCTGCATTGAAAAGGGGGTGGGGGTCTGGGGGGCTTTGCCCCCCAGCCGAAGGGGCAGGGGGCAAACCACTTTCTTTCCCCTTATCTTTTCTTCCCTTCCCTTTCCTTTCCTTTTCTTAGCACGCTTCATGAAAAAAGCGCAAGAGGCGTACGCCTCAGAGGTGTCAGCACCTCTGGCATATGCCTCAGGGCGTTTTGGGAGTGCCTCGCCTGGAGGCACGCCTCTAGGCATATGCCTCCCACGCCTTTTAAAACACTGTTCGGAATTTCTGGAACTTTGCTGTTATATTTTATACTAGATGATCTTGCTAGTTTTCATTTTTCAGTATTCTTGTGTCATCATTGCTTCCTGTATACATGCTAACTATGACATTCTTTTACATAAAAGTGCATGAGATACCATCACCACTATTTCCTTCTAGGGCATGAATATTATCTTGCTTTTGCAGGTGGTGATGTAATGACCTGGGGAAGGGGCACATCTGGTCAACTTGGCCATGGAGAGTTGGAGAGTTGCTTACTACCAAAGCCTGTAAAGTTTTTGGAAAATTTTACTACCTCTTATGTTTCTGCTGGATGGAATCACTCAGGGTTTGTTTCAGGTCTCTTCAGGCATATTAGTCTTCTCCCTGATAATAACAGGAGTTTCAAGTTGAACTGATAAAAAAAACGGGAGTTTCAAGTCGATACATATAATCAAATACTGCAACAAATTTATTTTCTTTATTGATTTTTGGACAGTGATTGTAGCAATACTTTCATGTTCGGCTGTTCAATTTTTTATGTAATCTAATATCATTTCAAGCTGTTTCAAGGGGAATTGTTGACTTTCCCATTTAGGCAAGATAGGACAGATTATTGGAGGGGAACAATTGAAACTTGGCAACTTGTAACTTATACCTGAATCTTATAGGCTTCATTGTAGTTTTACTGCTACTGTTGTTCTGAGACACAATATTATACAAATAACTCATTACATCTATTGCCGAGCAAGACTATGAAGATACTTCATATTTACAGATTTAGTACTTATGATGTTTTTTTTTGATTGGTTTTGTGTATCATTAATTGCATTTCAGTAACTAAGCTGTCAAGTAAAGTGGTATCGTTGAGTTATTTGTTGGAATATTTCTAATTGTATAGTATTTTGAATGTAATCAACATCATCCATGCCTTATCCCAACTATATGGGGTTGGCTACGTGAATCATGTTTCATCAATCTGTTCTATTTATACACTGTTAAATTATTAGTTCTTGAATAATTTCTTACTATTTCTACCCATGCCCTTTTTGGTCTACTCCTAGCTCTTCTAGCCCCTTCCACTTGCAACAAATCACTTCTTCTAACTGGAGCTATTGGTGGTCTTTTATCCTTGTGAACAAACCATCTTAGTCTATTCTCTCCCATTTTATCACTTGTTGGAGCTACTCCTAGGTTTCTATGGATGTCTTCATTTCTAATCCTATCCTTTCTGGTGTTTCCATTCATTCATCTAAACATTCATATTTCTGCCACATTCGTTTTCTGAACATGTTGTTTCTTGACTGCCCAACACTCTACTCCATACAACATAGCTGGCCTTACAATTGATTCATTCCTCTCCCCAAATCCAAATACTCCATTTACCATATCATATCCAACACTTCTTTTCCCTACATGCCTATTTAAGTCAATTCATGAGGTTTGACAAAAGTTTTAGTGCTGGCTGCCAACCTGATGCAACCCTCCTCCTTTATCCAGGCTTGGGACCAGCAGTGTAAGACAAGCTCACACTGGCAGAGTACAAAACAACTAAATGAACAATTGAAAATAAGGGAATCAATGATTGTCATTAGTAAGCAAGGACTGAACAGAAAAGGGAAGACTAATTTCTAGCTGAATAGGAAGGAAAGACTAATTTGGAGCATTATTCCATCAACCATATGTTGGGCTCTGTGGAAGGAGCCAAGGGATGTGCATCACTTAGATTACTTTTTCTTGGGAAAATTTTTCTGGTTAAGCTTTAAATTGCAAGAGATGTGATGCTTCATTCTTTGCTCAGTCACTCTATTGGATCATTTTGTAAATCTTTGAACATTGTTTCTTTATAGAAAGTAAGACAATCCATACTTTACCCTTTTTAGAAAAAAAATCCTGCATAAAATATATATCCTAGGGTGTTGTCCTAGGACTTGATTGCAGGAAATTTCTACTGGTGTGCTATACAACCACTCTATGTTCATGGGAATGTGTGTTACTTGGATCATTTTGTGAGCTTCCCTACCTAAACAATCCAAGGACCTGCTTGGATACTTAGTTTGGAATTCAAATGAAGTTACCATCTTCCTCTCCCGATACTTTATTTCTAGAAAGAATCTTGGCCCCAAAAACCTTTGCTTTTGTTCAAAATAAACACTATTATAGGCAAACTTTAGATTTCATTGAAAAGTTTGGATGGCTGCTATTGATTGGGAAAGACTCCAATTAAAGTTTGGGTATATGGTTGATTGGACTGCAGTACTCACATGATTGATATGGTTAATCCCTTATCTGATGGATGGTCTGTATTGACCACACAATTCCTCTACATGGTAGAAATGGCAAATAGGTGGAGTCGTCAAGGTAGCTTCCTTGTTTAATCTGACCAGGAAACCTTTTTTCTAGTAAGATTGTCAATTTATAAATTGTGTAGCCATTGATTTCTGTACATGATCCTTTGTGCTCAGCTCTCTTTCATTTCTTTTTCTTTTTTGCCAGATACCGGAAAACTTTTCACTTGTGGAGATGGCTCATTTGGGCAGCTTGGGCATGGAGATTATCAGTCACATTGTTCTCCTGTAGAAGTCTTATATTTTGCTTTTAAGCATGTTGAACAAATAGCATGTGGCATGCGTCATTCGCTTGTTTTATTAAAAGGTAAAAAACACAGCAGGCCTACTGTTATGTTAGTGGTAACTTTATCCTCCACCAAGTTTGGTTGGAAACCTTATTGGCCACTTAGTTTTGGTAGGAACTATGTCCTTGATGTGAAGATGCCATTATGTAGATGTGTGTGGCATTTTTAGACTCCTGTTTTCATTGATAGATTATTTTTCCCTTTTGTTGCTTGTAAACATGGTTAAATGGAAAAAATCTCCCATATATGTTCATATTTGATAGTTGTACTTCTTTATTCATGCATGCCGGCAATCAATATGGTGAACCCATAGAGTTGGGACAAGGTTTAGTTGAGTAGATTTGTGAAAGAATAAAGGTGATGAGGGATGGGGGGGATGGTGGTGTTAGGAGAGAGGAAAACCTAAAATATTATGTTAAAAAGGTATACGTGGAGGTAAGAATAAAAGGTTGGTTCCATTTGGGATAAAATTTTCCACCCAATGGTTCTCATCTTCATCATATGGTATTCTTTTCTTAGAAATCTCCCATATTAGCAAAAATAGTGCTTAGGAACCAAATGAAGGAAGAATTTATTCTTTCTTTTTTTTTTTCTAAGGTTAAGGTAGGTTGTGCCATTGTATGTCTGACTGTTGCTGCCTTTCTGTCCATATTATCCAAAGCCAGTGACCATTCAAGATGGAGGACATCTAGTAAATAGAAAACTTAAACTTCTTAATGTTTACCTTTCTTGAGATTTGGACTGTGAAATTTCCTGACACAGTTGAACTTTCTCAGAAATTTATTTCATTTTGTAGAGGATTATTTGATGAGTCTCATTATAATTTGGGCAAAGAAGGAAAATTCAGTGTGGAGACATCATCTATCATTAACTCCAACGACTTTGGTACTTATGGAATGAGACCACCTCAACAAGACAAGCACATGGAAGCATGATTAACAGGAAGAAAAACTTGGTTGTAAACAGTAAATAATTGGAAAACAGACTGAACTGCTTAGGGCAAACACCGGACTTTCTAGGTATCTGTATAATGGAAGACATAAATTTTGACAAACTAGAGTTTTGACTTTTGTGGCAATTCCTCTAAATTGTTCTCCTTAAATATCCTCCTAAGGGACTGTGTCCTCAATTATCAAAGGAATTTTGCTCCTCTGATTTTTCTTCGTCACATCTGCTTTTTGTTCCACAGATATTTATCCCAAAAAGAAAAAGCCAAAGAAAATTTCTTGTAATGTTTATCCAGAAAAAATGATGCTTATTTTTTTTTTGTGCTAAACCATATGATTAGTTTCTCATGAAAAACAAAATGCGTATGGGGGTGCACTCTTTATTGTGTAGCATAATATTATTCCTACCTTCAGCTACATGTTGGTCACGGATTGACAGTTTATGGCCTATTTCTTAGTTTTCCTCGATACCAGAGGTATGAACCTGATAAAATTAGTGGCTATCATATTTATGAAAAAAATTGATTGAGAATTCTTTCATGTTCCTTGCTGCCTTTATTCATTCATATCATCGTATGAAACTTCAACTGGAATTTGATTTTTATTCTCTTTTCTCTTATATAATTTTCTTGTATCAAAAGATCATAAGCTATGTTACTGAAATATTTAATTCTTCAGCTCATAATGCAAGAGCTTGTTTGGGCACCTAGGTTTTGCCTAGTTGGCTTGACATCCATCACCTTATATACTAAAAAACTTGAATAGTTCTGATGCAGGTTCTTCAGAAGATCCAGTTTATGGATTTGGTTCAGGGAAACGTGGCCAATTGGGTGTTTCCAAGGATCGTATCAGATCATTTGCTGTTCCCCAAGTTATTTTTGGACTTGGAGGTATTAAGGTCATCTCCATTAGTGCAAATGGAGATCATAGTGCAGCATTGTCTGGTGAGTTTCTCATTTCATGTTTGCCAAAAACATATCATGGTCTTGTGGGTGATTGTCATTATTCAACTTTATCTCTAGCAATACATGCATCTGATCAATTCCCCAATCCAGAGCCTTAAGTTGGTGAAAAGGCTTTTAGACAAGGAATTGTGCAGAAAACAAGAAAACATCAAAACACCAAAAGAAACAGATCAGATGAAGGATGCTAATCCTCAGATGCAGTAAGGGGCGATTGATTGGTGCATTGGTAAAATCTTGGGTTAACAAGCATGAGAATGTGGGTTTTAGAGAGGCCGCCTTGTGCAAAAATTTCTAAATGTTAGGTCGTATCTACCCTTCCCAAGACCGGAGATGGTCAGGACAATGATTGGGTAATGGCCCTTTTTTCAGGATCTTCTAAGCAGTTCCACATGTTGGATTGATAGGCAAAGTGCTCTATGGATTCAAATGTCTCAATTTGTAGGATGGCTTGAATTTTGGCACAGAAAATTGATGTTAAATGTGGACAATAACATATCATATATTGAAGGTGTCCTCTTGGTCTGGTTTTTTAACTATGCCTAGTTCAGAATATGGCCAACTAACATTTAAGTGGTGCCTCATATGGTTGTGGACTTACGGTTCTACATCAGTAATGTATTTTCTTTTATTAGTCACTTCATTCATGATGTCATCTATCTGGTATCACTACATCAGCCAACGGGCAACTGTACACCTGGGGCAGAGGATTTGGTGGCACTTCAGATATTCACCTCCCTCAGACTTTACCTTCACCTTTGAGATTCTCTCAAGTTGCTCTTGGATGGAATCATGCTCTATTATTAACAGGTAGAAACATACTATCTTATGTTATTTACATCTCTTTGTATTTCTGAATTAAAAATTATGTATGCATGGTCACTTAAATAGTTCTCTTTCATATCTTGGATAGGTGAAGGAGAAGTGCTAATGCTAGGTGGGAACCATCATGGGATGCTTAGTGATCCTCAGACAAGCAGGCAGCAGCATTCACCTGTTCTTGACAGTTCGAGTGTTGGCTCAGCTGGTATGAGTATCCATGATTGTTTAATTATCTATTCTATATCGCATAATGACATAGGCCATAGAACTGACATCCTGAGCCAAGGTACTCATACCCACACAAAAGTAAGCTTTCACCACTCTAGAGGTCTCCCTTCTCTTGTTATACTTACTGATTTAGAATGTTAAGTACCATAGGTGGTAACTACTTACTATAGATCAATGTTTCAAAACGTGGAGGCGTGGCGCAAGGCGTTCCACTACCTAGAGGCGTGACGCAAGGTGTTCAGAATGCAAGAGGCATAAGCCTCCTGAACACAAGGAGGCGTAAGCCTCCTTAAGAGGAGGGGGGTTAGGAGGAGGATGAAGAGGAAGGGGGGATCTCATTTTTTCTTTATTTTTAAT